TGTGAGCAGGTGGCATGAATCAAAGTTTAACACTCTGATGATGGATGTGATTTTCTGTAGGCTTTTTGTCTTTTTCCCCCACACTGCCAGGGGAACAAAACATGCAGTGTAAATATGATTTTAAAAACAGGCCCACCCGAAGTGAGGATCTCCTCTCAGAGTTTGAATGCTTTAGTATACAATATTTCATCATTTATTACACTGATCGTATTTCCTATTATAATATAATATTTATGACAGGACACAACAAGGCCCAGATGTACTGTCTCACTATATTATATTTGTGGCTTTCTGACAAGGTAACTGTATTCAGCCTGAGCCGTGTTGGAAGAGGCTGTGTTCACGTGCACAAAATATTCCAGTCTATGCCCTTAATACGGAAAAACAACATCCCCACTGAGTTGTTTACATGGCTAATGAAAATGAATATTCCACTAATATTCCTGTTTTTATGCAAACTCAATTTAAAGTACCTTAACATGCCATTTATCACGTCAAAACATGGAGAAGTGGAGGAACTGGAGTTGCCTGTGCAATTTTCACTTTATGTCTCAAATCAGACTTCAGACTATTCCACCAGTTGCGGACCACCTTCTTGAAAAGGTTGGCGTTGTGATATCTGGGCATATCCAAAGATCTGTAATCTCCAAATCTTTCATAATGATTAAAAGTGGGCATGTTTCTCCATCTGACCAGAAATGTGGGCTTTTCTTTTGGGCATGCATCTCTACCCCAGCTCCCAACTGTTGGCGTTGGTTTTTGTACAACATATCTATGACAGCTCACAGCGCTGACAGTGAACAGGCAAGAGGCCGTGTGTTGCAAGCCGCAGTAAAAACCCCAATTACTGTATACATGTCCAAAGATAGGCACATACCGTGTCTTAATCGTTAAATGCTACATTTGGAATCATGCCTAATGTGGAACATCAAAGCAAAAAATGCTGCTTACATGACCCACATCAAATTCAGAATACCGTCACGTTTGTAACAATATTGGAATATTCAGGCCTTCGCACACCAACTCTGTCTTTTATCTGTCATCTGAAAAACAATGGTACGCTCATAAACCTTACACACTGACTCTGATGTGTTTTATTGTTCTACTTGTTGTGAAATTTCGCATTACAAGACAAGGTGGAAAGACATTTTTGCTCCCTTACACTTACATCTCTCCTCTGGAGGTACCTCCCAAGCTGTCGCTGCTCTCTCCCCCGTGTCTTGCACTTGGCACAACAGCTGAAGGGGCTGAGCTGTCCTCCCTCTCTGTCTCCACACTGTCACTCTCTCTGTCTTTGTGTGATCCACATCCTCGTCCTTGTCATCATCATCCGCCTGAATATCACGATCTGACCTGTTAAAAGTAGGCTATCTGAGTTATGAAATGACAGTGCGTTACGTTCCTCTGTCTTGTTGCACATATATGTGTCCAGCAGTTTATGCCACATTTTCAATTCTCCAAAGGCTTTTCACAGATGTGAAAAAACAACACATTCTTACTCCGACCTCATTACATGTTGATGTTTGGTCATGGACTTTCCACGTCCAGATACGATGTGCAGTGTATTGGTGCATTGGTTGTTGAGGTTCTAGGACATGCATTGTCTTCTTTCAAAAATACACTTCCCTTATCCAGGAAATTTATAGTTTACATACAGTCTTTTTCAAAATAAACACACTAACTCAGTGCAGAGCTGTGAATTGGCTTTTTTTTTCCTTCAACAACAAATGCACATGGTTAAGTTCAGGAAAAAAGGGTTTGGCTTTATAATCTTACTGAACATGAACACTGCTCTCCCAGGTGAAAGTCTGTGTTTGTTGGACTCATTCACCACCTCTTCCATCCACCCTACTCGCACTTTTGTTCTTGTCCCGCCACTTTTCCCCCTGACACCACCTGCCACCATTAAACTAGAATGGCAACTGGCCGCACATCATGCTGGCGTTAAAGGACGACTTTTTCGTTGGTGTCTGACGCAGGAAGATTTTGCCCAAGTGCCTGATTACGATGACTTTGGAGTGAGACCCGGATGGAAAAAAAATGCAGAAATTTTAACCTGTTCTGAAAACTTTAATGATTGACAAAATTTGAGAGTCAGTGTGCAAAGTGGTGACATGCGACAATTTCGGATTAAAAGTACAGACTTAGTGTACATGTTAATACAGTCAGTGTTGCAAGCTTAGACAAGGTCTAGGCTGATGACAGGTGTAACAACAATTTGAGGTCTTTCTCAACCATAAAATAACCAGTATAGCAAAATGTCTACAGGTGACTTAACTTATTGATCTTTTGGTATTTTTATCGATCCTGGTCTTGCTGCTGGTTTCAGTCTCAGATCCCTGCTTGACACTAACGTCTTTTCTATTATCTTTAATACAGAAAGAGTCAGTTTCATATCAGAAGGCTCAGGTTCAAACCCCATGCACATGTTGTACACATATTAACAGTATTCGGAATTGGATTCACAATCGCTTTCATTTGATTGGTGGTGCCCTGCTGCTAATACGCTTTGTGGCTTTTGTGAAGGAGTTGGCTTTTCCATGTGAAAAGTGGTTATGGGGTAAATAGTTGTTTATTCATCGCCATGGAGTAGATTTGGCTGTTGACATGAATTAGTGAGTAAATACGAATCCCTCTCTGCACTCTAAAAGCTCTTCTACTGATTAGTGAGAGAGTGGGGGAGAGATATAGAGGAAAGGGGGGCTCGGGATGGAGAGAGAGAGAGAGAGAGAGAGAGAGAGAGAGAGAGAGAGAGAGAGAGAGAGACAGAGAGATTTGTTTATCCAACACTTCTCTCCCTCAAATCTGATTAGCTCAATGTCACATTGAAGAGTTGGACCTCTCCAGTCTCTGGTGTGTGTATGTGTGTTTTCCTACATGCAAGCATGTTGTGCCTGTGAGTCAAAATTTGATTACTGTAAAAACACGACTTACTTTATCTCCTTCACTCCAATTTTCTGTCTTTATCTTCTATATTTTTCTCTTTCTGTCAACCACATCTTGTTACTCTTATTTGTCTATACAGCATTACATTGATCCTTGTCCAAATGGTTGCTTCACCCTGCCATGGAGGAACAGGGTTTGTCCTAGGCAAAGTTGTCTTAGGCCGACAAAGTTTAGAGGTGGACACGATCACCATCCACTCATATGTATTTAACCTTGGCATGGTCAAGCGCTCTCAGACTCAAACACCATAGAAATTCATGAAAACATTAAATATTCATACACATTTATTAGTGAACTTACAAAAGAGGAAACTGGACACAGACCACTTCTTAATGCAGGAATAGTTTTTTTTTTCCCCTCACGACACATTGAGGCGTCTTTTCTCCTTTTTTGGTATTCACTTTTTCCTTGTCCTCCACAATTTTTCTTTTTCTTTTTTTTTTTTTTTATTTAGTATATATATATATTTTTTTTAATCAGAAGTGATTATTTAAGGGTCGAGACAAATAAGATAACTATGGAAAAATATTTTTTTGATCCATTTTTAATAGGAAGTGGGACAAAGAAAATTGGTTCAAAGATTTTTCAAAACACACAGAACATGTTTTATTGAGTTTGCCTTAAGGCGGGTCATGTGTTTTATTTAGTATTATTTATTTTCCTTGTGAGCTAAATTATTGTTCCAAATGTGTCAGTGATACAATGCTGCACCTGAAATTTTCACTGTTAAATAGACCCACAAATTCCCTCAATCATCCTGTCTGGATGACCAACTGTTACTGTTAACATTGAGTATCAATAGAGAATTGATTTTTTTTTTCTGTCCAATTATTTCCAAACGTCACTAAAACCTGTGCATCCATTATCCTGCTCCAGTACATCTTTCTGTTCATCACAGTGACATGTCTTCCCCTGTGGCAATTCTGAAATATCACCCCTCTCATACAGTGCATCTTTGAATCGAATACTCAACCCTTGAAGGCTTGAAAGGTGGAATGTTAAAGGTTAGCAGCCTGGATCCATTATTCTAACAATGATCCAGTTTTACAGTGGAGAAAAAATGCAGTCCTCTGAAATGCTTATTAGTAGCTAAGTTGAAAATTTCCTGACAAGAAACGATCCCCTCGTTGCGCTGCATTGTTTATCGACACAACTATGTGGCTAAGGCAGACGTAGATCTCTTTGGTATATCTCATTGATATGTGTGGAGTGGATGGTTGGCCATACCAGCATGTAAACAAAACAGTTCCCATCACATCTCGCAAATGTCAACGGTGCTTTCTTTATCCATAACAGCGATGTTCAATTGGTCATTATCTCCATGAACAGATATAAATGCAGAATCTGAAGGCAACAGGACATGATTTGGGTATTGGAAGCATTCTGGTATCTGTTAGTAGTCCAAATAGCATTGATCTGTCACGTTTAAGCAGACTTGCAGGTAAACTGTTTGTGTGGAGAGCAAGAAAAAGTGTCAGGCATTGGCTGAAATGTATTCTTAGATCCCATTGGCCATTAGCTTTTCAGTAGCTTTTTCCTAATTGATTTGCATTCTTATGCACCCATCTTGTTTATAGAGATTACATGATGTTATCTCAAGTTGCTCATTGAACTGTAAACAGTGACTGGTGCACAGAAGAGAAAGTCTTGGCCCAGATATCTGCTGGCTAACTCCTGAAATATTGGTCGTTGCCTTCAGAGGCCAGTGTCACCATTTATGTATTTTGTATGTATAAACACAAGTGATAAATACTTAGCATTGTTTTTGTTTTTGAAATCTTGCCATGGTGATGGTAGCACACCTTTGCTAATAACAAACCCTGATAAATATACTAAGAATCTATGATCAGTTGCAGTTGAAGTCCTGTCATGTGTCAGAGGTGTTCAACTCTGACTCGACCAGATCTGATTTTCATTTTCGACACCATGCAGTGTGTTTTCCACTGGTGTGTGCTCCCACTTAGCTTTTGGGAAAAAGATTTGGTTAAAATGAAATGTTGCTGTGTGAGTTATTGTTTCTGACATTATGCATGTTCTTGTCTTTCTGTCCTCAGTTTTGGAAGCACAGAAGGGGATGACGCAACTTGGCGGCAGACCAGTGTCATTCAACTGCTAGACCACTCAACAAGTTGGTAGGTTACACTCGAACCCTCTCACTGTCTCTCCATCTGTATCTCTGTATTTCTCGCTGAATCACGGCTTGGCATTGTCTATCTGCCTCTCAGTTATTCCCTCTTCAACATATTTCGCTGCCTATCCTGTTCATTTTTGTCGAAATTGTTCTTTCTGCTTCTCTCTCTAAATCTCCCGTTAAAGAGTGAGAAGATTAGCACCAATTTGCCTTGATTAGGCTATTCTTCTCGCAGTTGGAGGAAAAAAAAAAAAAGACAAAAACCCGCTCTGCAATTTGAACACGTGCAGGGAACAAGTGATTGCGATCAATAAAAAACGAGCAGGGAAAAAAAGGGGGGAAAAATGAACAAGTAAAGGAATGAATTGCCAATTTCTGTTCTTGTCAAGTGTTTTTGGAAGGCAGCTCTTGAGGAAAAGCTGTTTCCGTTGAAGGACTCTGACAGCAGTTTATGTGTCAGAGGGGATGGAGGGAGGCAGGGTGGGGGGGTGGCGGCGCTGAGCATTCAACAGAGCCTGATTATCAGCCTTTTTTTTTCTTTCTTTCTTTCACAATAGTATATGTGGGATTACAAATAGTGTTTTTTTTTCTCATGATGTATGAAGGTCACCAGGTGTTATTTACCCACATTTCTAGCAGAAATCTGGTCGCCAAATGCTCTACCTGCGACAGCTAAAATAAACTGTTAAAATTGTGGGCATCAATGACTGTTACAGTACCTCTGCTTTGGAGGATAATGCTGTCATATTTTTGTGACTAAACTCAACAGCGTATTATTTCATTGCTGTGGGGCTGCAGGGAAACAAACTGATCTGTTACAAACATCATGGTGTTCAGAAGGCAAACTGAGCCAGTCAGAGTGACACGGTTACTCCGTGCATGTAAAACGGCAAGCTATATTAATGCTTCATATATATTTTACTTCCTTTGGAGCATTTTGAACTTGTTTTATAGCTGTGGTGAAAGACTTTGCACTACCCAGCTACAGTATGTCCCACTTGAGTGTGCGCATCAAGCAGACAGCAACAATTAAACAAGTCTCTGGGAAAAAGGAATCACTCAAGTTGAAAAGGGAAAATGTTTTTTTGTCTACCAGTACATCTAGTTTTTTACTTGAGATTTTCTTGTTCCATTTTGGCAGCCATTTAAGTGGCTTTCCCTTCCCCCAAACCCAGCTTTAACTTGCATATCCAGACTGTATTTGAATAAGATTAAGTTAAGATACATACACCTTTTGTTCACATGGAGCGATTGGACCACATCAAGTCACTGTTAGCCACACCAACTCCTTAGCTATTTACATTTTGAGCAAACTGGAAGTGTAGTTCTTTGGTAAAATGGTGGTTACATCATATAAAAGCATAATATTTGAAAGGAAAGAATAATCTATCTTAGATAACTGATATACTTTAGAGAGGAGACTAAACAGTGGCAGCACTGACAGCTGTTTACTAATTCAACTTCCAACTTCTGTATAGCAAATATTTACACTTGTCCATGACAGTGTGTTTCTCACCATCTCCAGGAATAGTTTGGATGATCAGACTGACATCCATTTTGTGTCCTAGGTATATGTACATCAGTATTTTATGTGGTTCAACTCAGGAGAAGCACATTTATTGTGGCTTTAATGTATTGCACCGTTTTTATCCTAATCATAGCCCATGTATTTCAGTACAAGTGTAGTTTAAATATCAAGATGCAGGCCATTCACCTACATAGGCAGCAGTAGTTTGGAGTATTAACCCTTTTCGACAGTCAAGGGCTGGCTTGGATGGGCTTGGTTCAGTTTGAGCCATCAGCCCATTGCGGCAGGGATTTGCATTTCTATTACATCAGGGCCACCCACTTGAAGGTGTGTCTTTAACTGATGATGGCTTGTCTTAAATGGTGGCGTTTAAAAGCAGCAGGCTGATCCTTGGTTGTCTTTTGCTATTTTTGCTGCATGTTTTTTTCCATCACACAGCAGGGCAGGTAAAAAAAAAAGTTTACCTGCTGTAGGTGAACTGTTTGCAGAGATGCAGTAAGAGCCTGTTTTCTGCAGCTCTTTGTCAACATCTCACTGTTTCTGCTTTCACTTTCCTTCCTCAGACTTGTTCTGCTAATTCAGTGATTATCACATTTCCTATTGATTTGTCACAATAAAAGTCCCCTGACATTTTGTTATGTAAAAACTTGTATTGTGAAGCAGCAAAATAAGGAAATGTTGAGTTTTCGAGCAGCAGCTTCGCACAACTCCAGCTGATAGCGAACATGAAACGATAAAATAAAGTAGATATCTGAAATAGAGACAGACAGATTCAGTTTGAAGCTACAAAAATTCTGAGAGCTAAACACACAGAGACTCTCAAAAACACCTTTCTCTCTGGTCTCCCGCAGACAGAAGTGCGTAGAGTCTTGCAACACACACAGCTTGTCTGACAGGAAAAAGCGGTATCGTTGGGGGTTGGCTGCAGTTACCGCTACTCACTTGAGGGTGGGCGGCCCAGCTTATGGGCATACTTTGGAGAAAGTCCATCTCTGCCAAAGCTTGGTATGGCACGGCGCCTCTTAACTGATCATGGAAACGCAAATCGACGTGGCATGGCTTGACTTGGTGTGGCCAAAAGTGACAGTGGAAATATATGGAATCTTTGTTAAAGAAGTGTTTCACTGCTGGAAAGATGGTCTTTTCATTAAACTGGGCTCTCTATGCAGTAGAAACATGCAGTTAGTTTTGAAATGGGTGCTACATAACGGGACAAAACAGAGGAAGGGCTGTGACATTTAATTTTGCTCAAGAGGTAGAAAACCTACAAATTACAGAATGGACTGTGGCACATCAGACCAATAAAGACTCCCACTGGTGGGTGACGAAATGCGAGTCTGGTCATTTTGACACAGAAAACAATATGGCCACTGTCTGGTCAACAACAATCTTGTGTTACAGTTAAACAGTGAGCTAAAATGTGTGTTGGAAAACATTTTAGGTGAGAAATAGGCAACACACTAACAAAGTCTTGGTTTATATTTGATCAGCACTACTTAGTTTTATCATTTGATCTTAGTATTTTCTCAGTTTTTACAATACAACAAGAGAGTGGGCCTGCTTCTTTTTCTGCAAAGTCTTGTATTACAGCCAAACAGTGCACTAAAATATGTGTCAGAGGACATGTTGTAGGACATGTTGAGGACATGTTGTAGGACACTACTAGAAGCCTGCAGCTGGCTTAAAATATACAACATGTGAAGACAGGGCCAGAATGACCTTCCTTTACAGAGATGTCTGTAGGCCAAAAGTCAAATATATTTTCTCTAAGAGCAGGAATACACAGGCACAGAGACATATATCCTTACACTATTGGCAGAACGGGGCTGGTAAGGGTCATGTAAAAGCTTAGAAAGCATAGGCACTGAAAGAGAGAGTCAAAAAGCAAGGGGGAAAGAGATGCAGAGAAGCAGTGCCTTTAATTTGTTTACCGTAATTAAAGTTCAATCAGCTCTCACTAAAGAATAAAAACATCTAGAAAGTAGATGCTTAGGGAGTATATGTAGAAGTCACTGATCCATTTGCACCCAAGTAAACCCTACAGTGAAATCATTTAAATGTACGAGTAGTAATAAAAATGTTTTAACAGGGGGCATCGGTGGCTTGGTTGTGGAGCAGGCGCCCCATGTGTAGGGCTGTTGCCGCGGCGGCCCGGGTTCGAATCCAGCTCGTGGCCCTTTGCTGCGTGTCGTCCCCTCTCTCTCTCCCCCTTTCATACTTGCTGTCCTGTGCATTAAAGGCAAAAATGCCCAAAAAAATATCTTTATCGTTTTAACAGACTGAGAAAGAAGCCTCATAATTTAGATGTCGTTGTTTTCTTTCATGAATACAATATCTCAATATGTAATCTCACAATTTATAGCCGACAGTCTCTCTTGACAATTACAAAAACGACAAAATTCAAAGCAACGCAGCACTATATAGCATATAATTGACTTTGGTTTGAATCAGTCTAGCTCATTAAGCTGTGACCTCTCTCACTGTAACACCATACATCATTAATTACAAAGGGAAATAATGGTGTTTACATACAGCAACATGTATTCCCCATGCATACAGAAATACATAAAAGTGCATATGCTGATGCATTTAAAGGCTGTGAATTATCTCTTTCATATGAGCTAGCAATTACTGTAATTGGTCACTATATGGTAGTTCTGTATTTGCTTTGAGTAAATGTTCTGCTCATTGAAGCAGGGGGAAAATGTATCAGAATAATCATCGCTGCAAATTAAAAAGCTTTTTTGTATTTACCATATAAGTACCCCAAATCTGCCTTCACTTGTGAATGTACACAGCCTTTTCTGGGGGCTGTAGTAATATACATTATTGATACAGTAGATAGACCATTAATAGTACAGTTGGTTTGATTCCTGGGTCTTCCTGTCCTCAACTCCATTGAGCAAGACAAGGATACTCAAGTTGTTTCTAATGTGAGCAGAAAAGGAAATTGCTTTGGATCAAAGCATCTGCCAAAAGAATGTAATGTATTTAAAACATACCTTGAAACATACCCTTCATCTTGTTTCTTTCCTGAGAATGTACTATTTTTGCTCCTAAAGTTCTCAACCTGCACCATCTTTGACAGAGAACTACCTCTGCTTTCTACCCTGAACTTCAGTAATTTATGGAACTTCAGTAGATCTTGGTTACATAACCGTGTAAGCCCTGGGTAGTGACTGATGTGACCCGACAGCTAGACAATAACCACGTGACATCTTGGAAAGGCCACTGACAGGAGGAAGGAGACCCACTGGGTCCATCATTGCTGAAGAAGCCCATGGCAGAATTATTCTGGACCAGCTGGGCCAGTTGGATACTTCTTTAGGGGTGACTACATAACAGAGACATTTTGGTTCAGTTTATCTCCAGTTTCCGCACCAAATGGTGGAGAACTCCGGTATAGGATCTTGGTCGGGTCCAATATTAAGCACTTAATATCTAATCATGTGAGTGTTTTACAGATTAAATCTTAACTTCCCTTTCTTTGCCTGTTGCAATACTCTCAGACCTGTTTAATATTTGCAGCATAAATCTGGACTCTAACAACACAATGAAATGACTCGGCAAACAGTGTTCATACAGTTAATGACAGGTTCAGACATTGTAGGAAAGGAAGACATGGTGACCAGCT